TCAAATTGTGGCAAACTTCCATCTGAAAAAGCGGACAAGACTTTTATCTCATTTAACATCTCGTATAACATCTCATTCAAAGAACAACTTAGTGCTTTTCTACAAGAACAAGTGTAGCAAGTAATTGTGAAAGTTGAGGAAACTGTCCATTTCCATCTGCAAGCAGCCTATGATACCCTGGTACAGCATTACTCCATTGGTTCCTATAGGTCACCTTGTTTGGCTGAAAGCTCTTGCCTCCATTATGTGATTAACATTTTTTTAGTTATTGGTTTATTATTTAAAAGGAAAACACTTATAAAATCATAGTTGATCGAGTGATTCTAGGCTATAAAAACATTGCCCTCCATCACAAAGACAAGGGTGAACAGCTCTCCAAAACGCAGGAGCTCAATTTGTCTCAAACATTTTAGGAAGGGATGATATCCACATCCTGTTACTTATTTTCTTGGCCAGTCAAGCTTCTTAACATAACATTTTCTCCTCAAGTCAATGTCATGTTGTCAGTTCCTGTCTTCTGATTGTCTCATTGTTTGTAATTCTATTTTAGAACATAATTATGTACATTATAAGAAGTTTGTTTCAAACTGTTTCCAGTTGAACTACTAACTAAAGTATAAAAGCTTCAGTTGACATTTTAGAAGATGTACAGCTCTTGTGAAAGACCACAAGCAAAGTTTGGCAAATCTGCTTTGCCAGAGGTTTGTCAGAAATGGTTTAATTAATAAATGTTTTATTCTTTGCCCAGCTCTTAATTCATTGTTTACAGTTGGTCTGCAGGCATGAGACTTCTTAAAATCTAATATATTTTGAAAGCTAAACAATCAATGATGCCATTTTTACTGCTTTGGTGTGTCGATTTTGTGAAAATTCTTGTTTAAACATTATGCCATTAGGGATGAGCCTGATAATATAAAGGAACTGAAGCAACACAAAGTTGTGAGTCCAGGATGATTTGAGATCAATGTGAATATTAATTCAACTCCCTCATTACTGATCTCTGTAAATGCTCCTAGTTACATTATTTAAACATTTTTAAAAATCAAAATAAAGGAACAGAATATAAAATAATAAGTATATTAATATTTGTAAATTTTAGAATTAAAACATGATGGTGACACTACTTCCTTATATTCAATGGATCCAAAGAAAATTAAAATATATTAAAATATAATTAACAATTAGTATACGTTAATTGCTGATTTATGAATTAGAGAACCTGAAGAATTTTCACCTTATTATCTTAACATTGGTCCTGTTGGGAGGATATCCCAAGATGCTGGTGACACAAATGAAGGAGGCAAAGAGCCCTGGTTACAGATAGAGGGAATGTCATTGGTGACATTCACTGGTAATGACAAGCTGACTTTTTCTCCAGTCACGCGTGTGATATTTAAAAAAAAACACATTCTGTGAAAGTCATTTTGTATCATACTCTAAGCTGACTTGATTGCTAGTACTTTGAGACTGGTCGGATGGACCACAATGGTATTCTCCTGCCCTGTACATTGCTATTACTTTTTTAAACAAACTCTGAAAGACTGACAATTTTATATCAATACAGTATTTCAGAAAGGAAACGTTTCCCAAGGAAGACCTGGGCTTGTTTGAAATAGTGGAAAAATAATATGTAACCTTTTGTTTGCTACACTAATTATTTAAAAAAAACAAGTTCACCAGTCACTACACTACATCCTGTAAGCGATTTGAGAATTCTCCAAAGTGAAAGGTACGACACAACAACAACTGCACTTATATAGCACCCTCCATGCAGGTTAGCTTCTCAGAGCATTTAACAGTGACGGAGCCTGACTTCGAGCCCCGGGGAGGGGAGGGGGGGGGGGGGGGATATACTACATACCAAATGTAAGGGTGTTATTATTCTTAAGACAGTGTTGCACTCCTTTTATTATATAATGACTACGCTAATTGGCGGTGGTAACGTCGTGACCAGGGTACCTGCAAACTCGATTGAATACTCGTTTGAATGGAGACTGAATGTCTGTTCGAATGTTGCCTTCGTGCTTGCATGATATTGTTTCGGTCATTTACACCCCACAAGTAGCAGGAACGCCTCACTAGTTAAAGTATGTTGTTGTTGTGTGAAGGGGGCCTGATTTTAATGAAAACACATCGTCTATAAGAATGTGTATTTGTATTTTGTGAGTGTGAGATTACAAGTGGACAAGGGGATAAAATACCAGGTGTTTGAGCAGGCAGGAGAATTGGACCTTGGAGTGACTTGCAACAAGAAGTGGGTCAGCTCACTCACTCTGCTCAAACCGTAAGTGACAGCATTTTACGTATTATGACTCATTGGGTGTCAATAAAATATATGCTTGTGTCCATTATATATTTTTAATTTATTTTGAGAACTGCGTATTTTAAATTTGTTAATATAAACAGGATACTGTTTTTGTCCTCCTGACTCAAAAGGCCCTGAGTCTAATCACTGAAGCATTGCTTATAAAATACCAAGCTCCATGACACTACCACTAACAATTTGAACCTGTAAAGAGAACTCTCTTCAAATAATCATTTACTGAACAACTGCAATATTAGTAACCACTTTGAAGTTTACAATTGAAGATATTTATTCCAATATCTTTGGAACATATGAACATATTAATATTGGTTCAACATCTCTAAACTAATTGCAAGTGTTTCCAAATAACAATATCTTGCTCCTATTTCTTTTGTAAATTAATTTCATATATAGATGAATAATTTTGAATATCTGCAAATAAACATTAGATATTAAATTACTTTATGTGTACCAGAATGAGTTTTAAAGCTCCCTCCCTGCTAGGTCAGTGCAATTAAATTGTAACTGAAATCATTATCAAGGGTCTTAAATTCATTTTAAAACTTTAAAATTTTGAAGAAGGTAAATTTCATCTCTAATGTATGTGATATTTCAATACACACACAATGTTGCTTAGGCAAATATTGAAACATTTTAGCAATCATACAAAGAGGCACAACACTGATTTGGCAATTAAGTCTCAAAAATACAACTATCATAACATGACAAAATATATGCTGTAAATTTTCTCATGAAATTTTATAAAATGTTGCATTTATTGAAGTTGAAAGTATCTGTAACTTTTTGAGACATCATTGTTTCTCTCTTATCCAGTAATTGTATTTAAAAATGGTAAAAGGAGGTTCTTCACTCAAGCAGGACATTTTAATATATTGTTTGTATGATTACTCCTTTATTGGCATAGCTCCAATTAATAGCTCAATTTGCTCAGATACAAGTCAGAATTACTTTATTTAGATCACCTAATATTGGGCAACAAAAGGAATGTCACTCCTGCTGGAGGTTCTAGTTCTTCATTGATACTACAATGTACTTCTGGGTGGTGTCCAGTAGCTCTGCTTCCCTCTAGCTTCTCCTTCACTTTTGGCATCATCTTCCACTTATTAAGTTATTTGACCTCCAGTTCCATTGCTGCCTATCCAGCTAGGACTACCCTACCATGATTTGCAGAGTTAACATGAGCCAAGTGAGAAGAATCTCCACTCCCAGTGAGAAGTCTACCACTCGAAGTCCTGCCACTGAGCCAGGCAATGCTCACATGTCATCAAGCGTCCACAACCTGACTCCAGAATACTGAGAGCCAATTCGAACATACCAGTGCCAAGCACATCACCTTGAAGCCCAAAGAGCTTACCACCCCACCCCACCCCACCCCAAGGATAGTCATTAGTGACATACCAAGTAATTTGACAAACTTACGATTCAGTGACTCACGTGCACCCTAGACAACCAATGCATTCATTCCCCTGATGACTTTGAAGACTGATCTGAAATCAAGCCCACACTCTCCCCATTGGGACACACCCTGTTTTAACTAATTCCAGAAAGCGTTGTCGCAGATGGTCAAGAGCGAAAGGCTTGGGGTCCCCCAGCGTAAGCTGCTGAAGTTTAACCCGCTAAAGACGGCTTGACCAGTTAGGACCATCCACTGCCCATTCGAACTTCCACTTGCAGGTTCAACGGGAGTCAAATGGGAAGAATCTTTCCCTCGGTGACAGGTTGACTTCCCCAAGTCACACTGAGTTGGCTGAGACCGGAGGATAAATGAGATGATTGTCCCAGGAGAGGGAGAAAAACACTTAGAAGAGAACTAATAATGGTCATAAATAATCCTTGCATTTGATTATAAGCACCTTATCACGCCTTTGAGACGTCTTCACGGGATATACTGTAAAGTGAATTGACGGTATATTTTGTGGGCGATTAGTGGGGGGAGAAAAGCAGATGATTGTCGTGGGATGAGGAGGGGGAGAGAGGGAGGGAGGGAGGAGAGACAGTTATAGGAGGAGAGAGTGACTGTCTGGGATAAAAGATGTTCCTCCATAACCTCACCGTCTGCTATTGTAAAGCGAACAAAATGAGTTGAGCCAAAACATGTCAAAACGTATCCTCGAATGGGACCTGAGCGGCAGCGGTTGGGAACCGGACCGGAAGCGATGGCGATGGCCGCCGACGGAATGTTTCTGGAAGTTTCTGAGCTTCCAATTCCGTCTCATGAGTCACCACTCGCGGCACAACCTAACCTGCTGGGCGGGGGGCGGGTCAGGCTCAAACCGGAGCTGACTGACAGGCCGCGCGGCCAATCGGGTGCGCGAAGAAGCGGGCGGCTCCTCCACGTCACCCGGGCCCCAGCGCGGAGGTGGCGGGGTGACGCGGGCACGCGCCGTCCAATCAGCAGCGCGGGGCGGCGGCGGGAGCCCCTGTCCCCAGCGGGGGCGGGGCTTGCGCAGACGTCAAGTTTGGCGGCGCCGGAGAGCGGAGAGGGTGGGAGAGAGAGAGAGAGAGAGAGGACGGCGGCAGTAGTAGTAGTAGTAGTTGACGTGTTGGTTTTGAGGGGAACTTAAAAAAAAGGGGGAGAGGGGGGAAAAAAAAGGAAAATAATTGAATATTAACAGTAAAAAAAATAAAGGGGGTTTGAGCGGTGGAGATATTGCATTTGATAAGCCTTATTCGCGAGGGAATCAGTGGAGGTGTCCTGTCAATTTGCGGTTGGACTACGTTACAATCTGAAAGGGGGAGGAGGAGGGGGGGAGAGGGGGGTATTTTTTTTTTTGCTCGAGTTGCAACGTATTCTGGAAATCATGGGCAAGAATTATTACAGCACTCTCGGCATCGGCTCCGGGGCCAACGAGGACGAGATTAAGAGAGCCTACAGGAAAATGGCTCTGAAGTTTCACCCGGACAAAAACAAGGAGCCCAACGCCGAGGAGAGATTCAAAGAGGTGGCCGAGGCTTACGAGGTGCTGAGCGACCCCAAGAAGCGATCCATCTACGATCAGTACGGCGAGGAAGGTGAGTGTAACCCGGGGAGGGAGGGAGGGGGGGAGAGAGACTGACTGACTGACTGACTGACTGACTGACCAGGGTGGGCGGTAATTTGCAATACGTTTGTAGCCCAAAAGTCGACCAAAATTGCCAACCCCCCCCCCCCAAAAGTAGCCCAAAATCAACCGAGTTATTTAGCCCCCCCCCCCCAAAAAAAAAAAAAGTAGCCCAAACCACCCGAGTTACTAGCCCAAAAGTAGCCCAAGCACGACGCGTTGCCCTCCCCAGTGGGGATAACAGAGGGACCGATTTGCCTTCGTGCTTTTGAGGCTAAGAAATCGTCTTCAAAGGGGGGGGGGGGGGGGGGGGGAGAGAAACGTCTGGCAAGATATCATTTCTTTTTTTTAAAAAAAACCTGGCGCTCCCCCCCCCCCCCCCCTCCCAAAGTCATTTCGTGCACAGTAACAGAAAACACGCCCAATTGGGCGTGAACCCGCTTAAGCTGGTTACACTGCTGCTGAACTCCCTCCCTCCCTCCCTCCACCCACTTCACCACATCTTATTTCTAGTGAGACATATGTTCTTTTTTTTAAAAAAAAATCGCGATGCATTCAGTGATGATAATCAGTCTGTTCCAGCGCCTGTGCGATTGGAGATTACATTTTCTGAGTTGTAGCATTTTTTGCGATGCGCGTGTGTGTTGATGTGTAATATACTGTGCGCGGACTTACACACAACTAAAATATATATGTATATGTATATGGCAATGAATTGCAAAATGCAGCACCACAGAATGTAAAAGTGAAATAACGGTCTTGTCAGCGGAATGTGCAGAGATTGCGATATAAATGCTTTTTGTTGGCGGTGGCGGTGAAAGCTTTCAGGAATTGCTCATGTCGCGGTGAGCCATTTTTATACATGTATTTGGGTTTTTTTTTTGAAGGGCTGTTGCAAAAACCAACAGTTTCTGAGTGTGATCAATGCGCGTATGTGACCAGCAGTGAGTTGCTGGGCGATCAACTTTGGGAAGACTGCGATTTCTACCGTTTTTAAGAGACTTTCCTTTTATTTCACGCTTAAAAAAAACCCTAAGATAATCAGAAACCCCTGTGTCTGCTTCAGTTAATCAAAATTATACTGTAAACCTCCCAATTAATGTCTCTGCCAAATCAAACTGGCATAGGTGTGAACTACCTTTATATGAGTGAAGTCATTTCAAAAGCAGATTATGCCAGCAAAAATACAGTACCTCTTATTTTACTTTTTCCCATTATTTGCTTACATATTTTGGACTTGCAAGGTGTTTTTAAAAATAAAATCATCCTTTTTGCATATTGTTGTTCGTTTTGTAACTCTTAAAACAAGAGTGAGAAGTATTCCCTCTGATCATTCGATTTTTTGGGGGGGAAAATATATATTTGGTGCAACAGAAATCCAAAACAAACACAACGTACAACATCTTCTGTTACCATTTTTTTCCCCTGTCTCCCAATCCCAAAAACATTCCGTTGTTTACGGTACATTCCTTCACCGCACATAGGTTGTGCACACTTTTTTGGGACGCTCACTTTAAAACATTTGGGAGTCGCCCCTGTGTACACTACACCCAAGTGCGTACCCGCACACGCCCTGGGCGATAAGGCACATTTGACACTTTCGGAAAGCACCCCAATGTGCTCCGTACGCCCGCATGCTCACATAGATAATTTGTGATATTGGTCTTGAGATGCACAACTCTCCCTTATTACTCCAAAGAGCTTCTTGCAGCACTCACATCTTACTAAACTGCTTCAGTTTTTTGGTTGGCCAATAAAGTAATAGAAATAACAAAATAGCAAAGATTTATGCCACGAATCAAGAAATATTCAATCAAGAAACATTTATTTTGTTGCCCAACCAAAGAGGTTAGGACCATCTGGTATCCATTACATACAATGCCTATTTGCATATAATGGACAAGGCACACGCAATTGCTTTCACAGCTTGTGGAATACTTTGTGTGCAGAGAACATGTACAGAGCATTCTCATCGAAGCAGTGCATGGAATGATCACCCACTATAGCTATGATAGCTATGGTGTAGTTCTAATCATCATAGTTCCTCCGTGCTTTTAGAATGTATCACACGAGCCAACTATAGAAAGCTCGTCAAGTCTTCATTATAAATATATTCACACTTAGATATGGGAATTCAAGTCATATTAGAGCACTCAAGTGAGTGTTCATGGTAGCACAAAGGATTTTAGTATAATTTTTGTAATTAACCCTGAATAATACCTTTTTACGTGTTGTATCATCTCACATCGTAAACATAATTGTTGCAGTTAAGCCCATAACATAAGAACCAAAAATATCTAGATGAGTGTAAAACACTGAATAATTTTAGTTAACAATTGTACTTCATGTACTTATGCTATGAACACAGCTGCTTGATTTAAGAGGTCTTAGCTGCCAAAAAAAAATCCTACCTTCTCTGATTTGTAATGATTCACTTTCCATAATGAAGCTGCAGAGCATGTAATTTAGCTATATTATTTGCCAAAAGTAGACTGTACAAATTGTGGCAATTTAAATCTCGCTAGGAAAACTTGTATAGTGTTACATTTGAGTATGTATTTAAAGCTCAATTCTTCTCTCCAAAACAAATCACATTTTGCTCTCACAATTTAATTCAAAACCCTGAGTATATTGAAGTTATGCTGCACATGTTATCTATGTGTGACTGATATAATTGTTCTGCAACTAAGTACAACAGTGTATAATATTTGCAAATGTTAGTACATGGTTAAACATCAGTATTGTTAGGCAGATGGACATGAAAGAAAAAAGCCACACCACAAACCTCATCAAATATATAACTTGATGGAACACAGCAAAATGTAATATAAAGAGGACTCGACCTCGTCATCAGTCTATTATGACCACTGTTTCCAAGAGACTGACATAATAGATAATAATTGATGTTATAATCTATAACATATTCTCTTTATAATGTAGATTCAAGTCCAGAATTACAGCATTATAGTGGGTTATTTGACTATGTCATTAGAATTCTTCTTTATAAATGTGCCCTCATCGTGTACATATTCTGCTTGTATTATGAAAGCCCTTATATGATCCTTATGTTAGTGTTTAATGTTTTGTAATCTAAATTAGTCTAATCTAAGTCATAGAAACAGATACCCTCTCTACAGCTAATGTTTTGGCTTAAACCCTGTGGGAATTGTTCTCACTGAGGCGTCAGTTTGTTAAAGCAGTAGAAATGAAGAATGAAAATTAAGTCTGAAGAATAAAAGATAACAAGAATTAATTACCAGGCAATCTTCTCAGTGAGAGTTATGTGGCTTGACATATATAATTTGAACTTCTAAATGAAATGACTGCCTAGAAATAGCTTTTTTTTTAAAACTTTTTTTTAACATTGGTGGGATTTGTCTGTCCTGGCAGATTTTGACCACGTTGCTTCATTGTACAGAGTTGGTATAATATGCTTGTAAATTGCTCTTGTAAGTTACTCATAATTTGTTGTGTATATTCAGTAAAGTATGTAGAAATTAAGGAGTGTGTTACAGGACTATATTATGTGGATGTCAAATAACTCTCATATATCCTGGTTCATGTCACTCATTATCAAACGAAACATCTGACTTCTGTCTTTTTTTAAGTCAGTTTTCAAAAAAAAATTCAACATAACCAAAGGGATTATTGCATTTGCAGTGCTAATATATATTAGGCTATAAATTTCTGTAACTTTCCACATGTTGCATAAATTTGGTGAGAGCTTTTATTGTTATATTCAAAAACTTAAGGTTGTGTGATTTTTTTCAAATTGTCAATATTCTGTTTTATAGTTTGATATCATGTGAATCAGTAAAGTACATTTTACTTTTTTAAGAATTTTGATCAAGTTCTCCTGTGAATTGAATAACCATATAAGTCTATAGTAATGCCATCATAATAGATTCTTCGTGATAACTTCAGTGAATCAAAATGTTGTAGGTGGATGGGAGTGAATAATGGGAAGTAATTTTAATTTCTGGGTGCAGATAAAAAAAACATGTCACTTGGGCTTTGTTGTTTAGGATTATTAAGTTGTCTGAAGCCATCAAATTTAACTAGGCATACATTTTAAATTAATTTGACAATACACAGGAATTCGTATTGACAATAAAAGGAATTAGACAAATATCTAAAAAAGAAAAAATATAAAATGGTATTGGCAGAGGGGTAAAATAGATAACTCTTTTGATGGAGCCAGCCTCGGGTATGATGGACCTAATAGTCACCTTTTCTGCTGTAAAATTCTACGATTATTCACAACTTCATTGTTAAATAACATACATTCTGTTCCAAAGTGATGATTGTGCATCACAATCCTATAGGATATCAATCGAACAATAGATAATTCACACATAGAAACCGGAGTAGGCTATTCAGCCCCTTGAGCATGTTCTGCAATTCTATAAGATCATGGCTGATCTGTATTTTGACTCCAGTTACCCACTCTTGCCCCATATCCCTTGATACCTTTACCTAACAAAATCCAACCACCTCAGTCTTGAAAATTTGAATGGATCCAGCATACACAGCCTTTTGGGGAAGAGAGTTCCAGATTTCCACTACCCTTTGGGTGAAAACGTGCCTCCTAATTTCACTCCTAAAAGGTCTAGCTCTAATTTTAAGATTATGCCATACCCTTGTTCTGGATTCCTCAACCGGATGAAATAGTTTCTCTATCTACCTTATCAAATCCCTTTTTTATTTTAAACACCTTAATTAGATCACCCTTCAACCTTCTAAACTCAAGGGAATACAGACCAAGTTTATACAACCTGTCCCCATAATTTAATCCTTTAAGCCCTGGTGAATTCTGGTGAATCTGTACTGTATCCCCTGCAGAGCCAACATATGCTTCCCAAAACTAAACACAGTACTCCAGGTGAGGTCTGACCAAAGCTGTATACAGTTGAAGCATCATTTCCTTTCCTTTATATTCCATCCCCCTTGAGATAAAGGCTAACATCCCAT